TTTTTTTTTTTTTTAAGATTTATTTATTATGTATACAGAATTCTGCCTGCACATATGTCTGCAGGCCAGAAGAGGGCACCAGATATCATTACAGATGGTTGTGAGACACCATGTGGTTGCTGGGAATTGAACTCAGGACCTCTGGAAGAACAGTCAGTGCTCTTAACCACTGAGCCATCTCTCCAGCCCCGAGTTTTTAATTCTTGACATAAGTGAGAACTAGAGTCTTTTGACTTATAAGCAAAAGAGCCGTGATTGTAACTGCTTCTTAGTTAATGTGCACAGTGGCCGCACTGTTAAAAAAGCATCCGTAGCCAAAAATGTAAGGGGTAGTATTAGCTACAGTTTGTTGAAAGAAACTTTAACTGTTCTTCGGGATGTCAATAAATTCAGTCTGGCTGCTGTGCAATGTGCAGAAGAACAAAGAGTAAGAGAGGTCTTAGTTATAAGATTATTCGTGGTAAGACGTTTTATTTCCGTTCATTTTAATCCAATGGGAGCGGGACCATGTATTTGTGATCATATACCTTTAAAGTTTGAATGAGGAATACTGTGTACAAATGTAACATTTCACTACCATTCAAAACGAAGAAAGACGTAAGAGATATCTCCCATGTTGAGTAGAAGACATAATTTCAGTGAGAATATTCCATAAATTCATATTCCCAAAGAAGGCTGCTTTCTGATGGCTTCTTAGGTGTCACCAGCAGGATCAACACACTGATACCTTTCTAACAGGATTCTCAGTGGTCACTGTGGATGCAGCAGTGTGGCATTGCCAGTGTGCTTCCCCTTTGAGGAAGCACCTGTAAAGTAAACCTAGCCTTTGGTAAGAAAAGCAATGGATTTTTTAAATTTATTTTATATATATATGAGTGCTTTATCTGCATGTACAACTTTATGCCATAAGAGGGAATCAGATCCCACTATAGATGATTGTGAACCAACATGTGGCTGCTGGGAATTGAACTCAGGACCTCTGGAAGAACAGCCAGTGCTCTTAACCACTGATCCATCTTTCCAGCCCGGGAGAGCTATGTATGATTCCCACCAGATGCAACACTCGGGAGAGCAGGCCCTGCACCCCACCAGAGCAGCACAAGAGATCCAACCCTTTAGCAGGGGTATGGACGAGCCACCTCTGAAACTGTGAGCATGGGACAGCTGTCCCCATTTCCCATCTGGTGGGCCAACCCTACAGCAGCTGTCCAGGCCCAGAACCAGGGTTATGGCTTGGCCTGCCCCAACATCCACCCCATCTGTGATCTGCTGGAGCATGTGAAGGGATCTGACCTACAGACCCAAAGCTGCAGGATCTCCATAACACAGAGCGCCAGCGGGATGTCCAGGAGGAGCCCTAGAAGGGACCCAGCATCAAACATGTAGTGGAGACCAAGGGCCTAGAACCAGACCAGTGACTCTTTGCAATGAACACTTGCAAGTAGAGGTATATGGACCAAAGAGTATGTGGTATGACTTGGGTTGCACTGTAGCTTCCATGATGAGATTATTAATTCTCTCCCCCCCCTTTTTTTAAAAAATTTTCTCATTTTTTTTCCTCTAGAATTTTGTTTTATTGGGGGAGGGGATACAGAGGCAGAGGGCAGATGCAAAAGGAACAGGGAATGAATGGGATGAAGATACATAATATGAAAAACACAGAATAAATACATTTTATTAATTAAAAAAAAAGGAAAAGTGCTGTGGGATGGTCGGTATGTCAAATGCTCTGATTGGTCAATAAATAAAACACTGATTGGCCAGTGGCCAGGCAGGAGGTATAGGAAGGACTAGCAGAGAGGAGAATTGAGAGAACAGGAAGGTAGGAGGAGATATTGCCAGCCGCCACCGCCATGACAAGCAGCATGTGAAGATGCTGGTAAGCCATGAGCCACGTGGCAAGGTATAGATTTATGGAAGTGGATTAATTTAAGCTATAAGAACAATTAGCAAGAAGCCTGCCATGGCCATACAGTTTGTAAGCAATATAAGTCCCTGTGTTTACTTCGTTGGGTCTGAGTGGCTGTGGGACTGGTGGGTGACAGAGATTTGTCCTGACTGTGGGTCAGGCAGGAAAACTGGCTACAGAAAAGCAATGGAAATGACTGGAAAGCTGGCTCAAAGGACACATGAATTGACGAGCCGTCAAAGTGTTTGGATTTGGTGCCTTCAAGAATTACTTTGTGCTTCAATATGGGAGATTCTCATAAAAATAAATAAATTTTCAAAATGTCTCACATGTTTAATGAATGCCTGAGTAGTCTCTAAACAATAAACTATCCTTATCCAAACAGTCTTTTCCTCTTTCGGTAACAGAGTATTCATGTTTTACCAAGATTTGGTCTCATTTGTTCTTGGAGAAAGTATTTCAGATAATAACCTTTCAGCCAATTTCCCGAAGCATTGACATTCTTATCCTTTTAGACACCACGCTGGTTAATTGTTTGCCAACTCCACACAGGCTCAGGTCATCTGGGAAGAAGAAACCTCAACTGCGAAAATCGCTCTGTCAGACTTACCTACAGGGCATTTTCTTAAATGATGATGGATATGGGAGGCCCCAGCCCACTGTGGGCAGTGCTACCCCTGAGTAGGCGGTCCTGGGTTCTATAAGAGGGCAGTCTGAGCAATCCATGGGAAGCAAGCCAGTAAGCAGTGTTCCCATATGTCCCCCCCTTCAGTTCCTGCTGCCAGGCTCCTTCCTGCCCTGATGTCCCTTTACAATGGACTGTGATTAAGATGTGTAAGCCAAATAACCCTTTCCTCCCCAGGCTGCTTTGGGTCCTGGTGTTTCATCACAACAAGAGAAAAACGTTCGTGTATCTCATAGGTACTAATACTGTTTTTCTCACACAGATCCAGTGTCCCACTTGCCAATTCATCTGGTGTTTTAAGTGCCACGCTCCTTGGCATGAAGGTGTTAACTGCAAGGAGTACAAAAAAGGAGACAAGTTATTGCGTCACTGGGCCAGCGAAATTGAGCATGGGCAGAGAAATGCCCAGAAGTGTCCAAAGTGCAAGGTGAGATAACCCTTAGCGGGACAGGAAAGGAAAACGACGCCCGCATGTAACTGAGCAATATTCACAGTATGGAAGTGTAGCATATTCATCATTGCCTGCCCAGGTGTGAAGAAGGCTTTACTGTTTCATTTCTCAAGACTAATTACGTTGCATGTCACACGGAACATGTGTGTGCACATAGTGTCTATTGTTGTCATTAGCATGATAATTCAGAATTTAAGAACGCTACGAACAAATATTGGTCTAAAATG